CCATGCTCAAATCATGGCGGTTGCTGGAGGTTTCTTCTCGCAGTACTGACTATGGAGTCTCCTGCGCGAATAATCCTGGCATTTTGATTAGAGGTCGAACACAATGGACTGCTCGATCAGTGGCTTATCGCAATCTCTTTCCGAACCGGGAATTTACTCAGCGAGAGCCCCGATCCTGGAATTAATTCGGTAAAAAATAAGAGCAGATAAAATTGAGATAGGGAGAATTGTTTAGAAAGGGTCGGGAGCCCTTTCGAGATCCCCATAATTTTCCCCACAGAGTCTAGTGTCGAGCAGATTCAGCATCTGAGACTTCCTGAGAGTCTCGATCCAGATTCTCAGCGTCTTATGGCATGCGAAATACGTATCTTGCACGGTCATTTGCTCTCAAAAGAGCATGATGCGGAACCTTTGAAATTGAGAGATCGCCCCAATCGAAGAAGAGGCGCGGGAGTCGTTGAGCGCGATCGACCCATTATTGAAGCCCCATCGCTCTCCGCTAAGCCCCATCTCGGAACCCGCTCAGAGAGGAACAGTGGCTGAGAAGCGGAGCTCTCCGGGGCAGTGCTCCCGCATCCACTCCTATCAGGACTGTTTCTCGTTAGCTCGGGGCTGACGGAATCAGTTCGAGCCTACAGCACTGGAACAAACAAAAGCAAGGCGCTCAAGTGAGCCGCAATCAAAGCCAGACTTAGGAGTGGGTTTAGAGCCCCTCGGAACAGTAAGCTCGTTTCATGACACGACGCTCTGATGGACTTGACGTTTCCCAGAGCTTCCTTCGGTTCCCCCGAACCCAGCAGACTTCTTTCTCAACCTCTGCGGCGGAGCTCTCGTCGTGTTTTCCCGTGCGTCTGTTTTGGGAAGGCGCAACAGTTCCTCGATTGCCTCATCATTGAGCATTTTCGTCGTCTACTCCGCGCTACTTCGTGTTCCGCTAACGTCTGTCGGTGCAATGCGACCATTGCCGGCAGCCGCAAGCGTCGTGCATGCGATCGAATTGGACGGAGGGGTTCCGCGAGTTTCTCCGGAAATCGTGAGAGGGAACGGTGAACGAAGAGATTCCCGGTCGTGGCGGTAGTTGCAGTGAACACAAGACAAAAAGTTTCCGCGAACGTTCCATGTGGACGACGGGTTTCTTTCTTCTTTTCGACCTCTTCCTCCAGCCCCCACGAGAGTGGACGCTCACCCGACGCAGAGCCAATCAACTCGGGAGAACGAAGTACATTATTCTAATCAGATCAACGAATAGTTCTCCTGGAAAAAAAGTTGGGTACTAGCTCTGCTGTTGTGGGCGTGGCTCTGATTGACTTTTCGAAACTTCGAGCTTTGTCAAGCAAGTCTGACGAGCTGTTGTACATACAAGTCTACTCTTCGATGCATCCATTCGTCGCGTTCCGCCGCCCAGCTCGTGCAGCAATTCAGATGCGCGGATGAGCTTTCCGAAAGACGCGTAGGCGAGTGGACACATCGCGGAGGGGCGACCGCATGATTCTGGAAAAACACTCTGGGGAGCAGTGGGAGCCTCGGAGTCGCTGTTCCATAATTCACCGCATCAGGGTGCGAGTCATGGATGGTGTCCCGGGAAAAATAGTGGAATAAGTCACCTTGCCCTCGAGCTGACGTTGAGGCCTGAGTGGCCGGAGCTTCGAGTGCACCTCGTTCCACTATATTCTCTCTAGTATCAACATAACTTCGTCGGGACGTCAACGTCCCGTGTCAGGGAAAAAAATTCTGTGATGAGAACGGGACTCTCCGGTGGACGGGGGCACTCCCGGAGGCGTGAGCACTGGTGTTCGACACCAGGAATGAAGTTCTGTGTGGAGCATCGGAGGAGCGGATATGCGTAATTTACATCAGGTCCACGTTTTTACGCGGTGTCCGACTCCCTCACATGAACACATTTGATATCTTTCCATGGCCCACCGCATAGTGATCGAACCATAGCAAACGATGATCATCGGAGCAAGCTTGAATGATTCGCCTAAAATTCCAAGTGTGAGGCCCGTTTGGCGGATCATTCGACTTCAAAATCCCGATAATCCTCTCGAAAGTGTAGCGCGACTCTGTGGCCTATCGATCGTCATGGGTCTGAACATTATTGAGAGATTCCGATGCCGGACCCGCACGACTGAATCACAACTGGCTGTTGAGCTCGGATCGCTTTATGAGACACGTCCGGCTTGCTATCGATGCGCGTTTTCGCTGAGGTTGAGTGAAATTCCTCCAATAGATCCGAGCTGGCTCGTGTCAAAAAGCGTCGGGCGACTCGAGCGATTCTCGGATACCACCTCGGGTGACAAATTGAGCGGGGGTTATCGAAGAAAACAGTAAACTTGATAACCTTTCCCACACGAATCTTCGGCACTACCGAATTCCAAAGACGGCGACGATGAAGGAAGAGAAAGGAGGAGTGAGAATAAACGAATCCGAAATTTTACGCTGCTTGCACTCAATACCGGCGGTGTTTTATGTTCCTTTGATCTCTTGCAGGAGCTCGTCTTTCCGAAACAGAAGCCGAAAGACATTGAAACAGGTAATTATAATTTTATAGTAAACCTTCGATGCCGCTGGCTTTGCATCCAGTAGGATCACTTCTCAGAAAATGAAAACGCACAAAAAACCCGCGAATTAGATTCTCCACGACATCCACGGATGAGTCAGGGTTAGCAATGACGGCCGCCATCTACTGGAAGTCCTTCCGAGTGCCTCCTTCGACGGTGCTTCGTTCAGGCATCGATCTTTACCGGGTGATTTATGTCGCCGTGCGATACCCATCATCCGCGTTAAAAAACCGTGATAATGCAAGCGATTCATTTTTTCATGGAGCAAGGAGTCGAATGACTAATTATTCAAAGTTTTATCTATCCAGCGCGATCTTCTTCATGACACGAAAGCGATGATACGACGCGACGGCGCGATAAAGTGTGGGAAACAAGCGGTTCATCCAGGGACTACGCATCTTCTGTTTCTTCGGCGAGCTGACGAACCGCATGTCTCGATTGTACTAAGTAACGGTCGCTTCGAACACTGAACATCTTTTCGAGGCAAATCGAGGAAACCTCATCAGCGTCAAATTGACGTTCCCGCGGCTTCCCCATGGAAGTCTCATGAGATCAGGCTTCTTCTCTCTTCACTATGGAAACATGATTATGGCCCGTCGTAACGGAAACGTTGCTTCCGCTCCCCTACGGCCCCGCCATTCCGTTCGCCGCTCCGCGTAATACAATCCCGCTCAAGATTCCACCGAAAACACACGCGTATTGAACTTCGACTCCCACTCCGATGAGAATCGGCACAGAGGAAATCAGCACTGAACGAAACGGAGAGGAATGATTCGCGTATATTATGACCGCCGCGGCGCCAGACGATATGACAATTCGAGTGATGAGCACGCGATGCTTTCTGGAAAACCTTCCATCAGCAGAACGCTGATAATGTGCGCCGAAAACTCCACTTGAGCACCTCGGGGGTACGCGGACTGTCGCTTGGAGAATTCCCGATAATTTGTGCAGAGCTGCCGCTCCTGGGCGAGCCTCAATCACAAACCTGGATGGAGTTCTGATTGCAATAGTTGCCACAAAAAAAAACTTGTGGAAATTGTTCTGCTTATAGAGTCGACATACTTTCGCCTGCGACACTCGGGTATCTCATCGGGAGTTCAGTCCGGAGCTCCTGGCAGATCGAATCGTCATAGGGTCTGGAGTCTCACCTGCCAGCCGAAAACCATCGATTAGCTACGGAATTCGAAACTCAGCTCCCCTCCCGCGTTCCATAGAGCGAATAAACCATAGCCCGACGCAGTACCCACCCGAAAATCGTGCCGCTCTAACCGAAAGACTTGCGAGGGAACCGAGGAAACCCCGGAAACGGACTCACTTCGTTCGATGACAAATATATGTTCCTCATGCATCGCAGATCTTGCCACGAGCCAAGATGAATTCATTGGAATGGTGATCGACTCGAGGAAATACCTCTCCCGCGGTTTCAGCTCAAAGAGGTGGAACAATGACAACGAGATCTCTGCTCTCTGAACGAGTGACCGCGATGCTTTCGGCAGATGCATCTGAATCGGAAGCGGAAAAGCGGAGGGTACCTCCGCTGAAGCGCGGCGAGTTTCTCATTCGCCATGATCGAGGATATTTCATGTCCATGAATTTCTTCCGTGAGAATCATTCATCTATCTCACTGGGTCGTCCAGCATTATCTCTCGATTCCCTCTCGATCGCTTAGTTCCAAAGCTCCGTCGGCGGACAATCTTCCACCTGGAGCGAATAAAACTGACGTCTTGGCGCGGTATGCGACCATATTAAAATTCCAGAACGAAGAAATACGCTCCTCCAGGAGTACATACGGGTGGGCTGTCAAAGTTTCCGCGGCTAAATCTGTCTTCGGGCTATATACCTCCGGCCACCACTGCCGCCGCTGCTGTCAATTTCGTGATGGGGAAAACAGGGAGCTGACTCTCCCCAAGGACATCGGACGTTATTCGTTAATCCCATACGTACATATGAAGCGCCCTTGAGACGGATATCTTGAACGAGCCAGCGGGGACGTCTCCCGTCCGCGTTCCACAAACGAAGTCTGCTTTTCGCTAGCTCCTACGGGCCCATTCGCGCAGAGACTCTCCTTGTTTCAATTCTGACAGAACAGTTTTCCCCTCTGGCTTTATTTTCAGCTGATTCGCGACCATAGCGGGGCTATTGCCGGCCGAGCGGTTGGCGATCGTCATGTGGAGCCCTCACCCTAGTGGAGAGTGAAGCGAATCCCAAAACAGATTCCATGCTGCCCATCCACCAGTTGCTCTTGGACCCGCGGTCGCTCCGCGCCAGTTTGTGTTTCGTGATAACTTCGTACTTTTGACACAATGGATACATAGAGCGTGCAGGTGTCGTTTCTGATGTTGTCGACTTGCTCCATTGAGAATACGTGCTAATTCATCAGTCGTCCGTGACTCCCTTCGACTGGCAGTTGGATACGCTCCTGACAACACTGGCTGCAACATGTTGAAGCACGTTCATAGCTCGACAACCTCGTTGTTCCGTTGCGGGAAACCGATCGCCAAGGACTCGTTGAGTCTCAACTCAACGATCAGCCTGAGTTCGGGGAGCAACTCCGCCAATCTCGAGCTGGCGAGTTCCCGCTCGTCGAGTACGTGCTCGCTACATGATTCGCTCAGCCTAACAGGATCCCCCCAGAAGCCTCAAGTGAAAAAGGTAAGGCCCCGTCGAACATGTTCACCGTGGAATAAAATTCCAGCGGCCCATTTTTCCCAGCCCCCTCGCATTCTCCTACCGCTCGAAAAAAAATATCGTCGAAGATCCGTAGAACTCGTCGGATGGGGTCTCAAGCTGACTCAGACTCTAAAGGCATCAGCCCGAATAGATCTAGGCTACGGGATTGTAGGCCACCAGAGCCCAGAACTGCTCGATTATTATCAGAGCCATTTTCAAATCGGGATCGCATGGCTCTTTTTGGAGAAAGTTTTTGACGTAGCGCCTTACATCGTCTCCAAATCTGGCAGACGGACCTCAGATCATTTCTGTGAGGGCGACGCGATGGACAATCGGAAATCGGACCCTCCAAATGATTTTCGTAGCAAACCTTGACCAACCTAGTGCGTGGGTCGCTGGTCAACAACAGGAAGGGAACGTGCCTAGTGCGGGACTTGTGGTCAAGTTGGAAGTGAAAGCTGGAATTAGCGAGCATGTTTGCGCAATGGTCAGCTCTGCGGAAAGTATTCCTGGAAAGCCCTTTTCGTACAATGACTTGTTGCAGCCGAACAGTAGCAACAGCATCGGGCGGCGACCGGTGGTTGTTCCGGCTGACGCGGTTGAACACGTAAAAATCTGGTCTCTTGCTCAGCGTATTTGCTTCCAGAAGAAGTTACGCGTTTTTGTCTTGGATTCACTTCATTGTTTCAACTCCTGCGGTGATGGCCGTCGACTGTGATGGCGGTTGCAGCTGCCGCACGCACGCACGTTTCGCGTGTCCATAAGCCTTTTCGCTGGTCTTCCCCTTATGTGTTTTCTCTCGACGTTGCGGAAAATGCACTTTTTGCGCTAGCATACCGGACGGATTTGCCAGAAACAAGCCTCCACACGTTTCAAAGTGGAATCCTTTCTCCCGCGACGCCCAAGGATTCACCTGGTCGTGTCCGCACTCCGAGAGCTCGCTCGAGCCATATCTGTCCTAAACAGCTCTCGTCAAAGAATCGGAAATATTTCCGGAATTCGCGAGCTCCGAACTCCGCGTCGGGATCTGTTGGATGAGACCGAAAAATATTTGCTGATGCGGTCGAGACTTCAGCACCGTCCGATCGGGACATCCGTGGTCGCATCCTCGAGGTCTCCGGTGCTCGCTGAGGAACTCTGAGAATAGTGGAGACAGGGGAAAACGGAAGAAGGCGCGTTATTCTCAATGAGTCGATTCCGCCTTCCGCTGAACTTCAAAAACTTCCACGGCATCGTCACGACGGGATCGGCTGCGCGATGTCCAAGCTCGGGGTGGCGGGTACCTTGACGCTGGTGCCGACATCCAGACTTGAAATGGTCGTCTATGCCAGAGCCTCAATGAATGAGTCCCGAATTAACCTTTGGCGTTTTTTTCCTTTCTCTTCCGCACCACAAAAAATTAAAAATAAATTCCGCTTTCAAATGCTTGTTAGGCTCATCCCGGTTCATTTTTAGGTTGAGCGACTCCGCTCAACGTAACCTGCGGGGTCCCAAAAATGACTAAGTAAGCTTCGCAGAACAGGGCCTTCCGTGCAGGTAGCCTTACCGTAGGCTACAATCGTTTTTTTCTCTCCGTGATCCGGCGCAGTTTTCCGTGGTTCGGTGAAGTTCGCCATTCGGGCCGTACTCCCATCCTTGAATGACGTAATCATCATGGTTCCACGGAAGGCCACCGGATGTCTCCCGATTCAAAATTCAGCACCAGCTGAATCGAGATCACTCATCAAAAAAAATAGGTCCATCCGGCTCGCGTGACGTGTCGACAGCGGCGGCGACGCGCGACGTCTAGCGCCAGAGATGGACGAGGACGAAGTGAATCACGGACCGTCTGCCAGCGGATCTCCGATTCATACATCATGTTGGCAACTATATGGATTTGATGCCCATGGGTCTAATGTTTTTCTAAACTAAGTTCGCGCATCATCATCATGATGATCACGGTTATGAGCGCAGCATATTGATCATTAACGTGATATCGAAGGGCTATCGAGGCTTTCTTCGACAAAACCGTTAGCCCCAGACTTGGAGCAGCGTCGGGCCAAGTTTTGTGAGTTGGACGCTCGCTTGCTTGCTTGGCTAGCTCTTTGTCTGGTGGCGAGGCGACGCTCGACTCCAACTGAGAGAGGAAGCTCCTCATTCAAGCACCGGTCGTCGCCAGCTGGCTCTCAATTCAGAGGCTGAATCGGAGCCTCAGCTCAGCTGGTTTGAAAATCAGAGCATCACCCCCGATGAACCAGATGCTTCTCCTTCCCTCGAGCCGAAGGTCTAGTCTGGTGGCCGCAGGCCATGATACTGTGTATGAATGGGCTCAAAGTCATGTTTGTGTTTATTCAGATGTCATGGACGGGCGTAAACAGCCTAAACCGAAACTTTCGATGGGAACGTAGCGCCAGCGATCTCGGTCGGGTCTTGTGATTGCAAAGTTCCCTGCTGACGGTAGACAAGGACCGTCGTCGGAGGACAGGAGACGACGAGCCCTCGAGTTCGCTAGTGGGGGACTCGAGCGAAATCTCCTCAGCCGGCCGACCCTCGGTCAACGGCACTGTGCCGGAATATGGCCATGGAGGAACTAGCAACAGTATTACGATGAAACTTGATTGGACGTTCTTTCGCTCGCTCGCTCCTTCGTTCGTCCGTCCGCGTGTCGCTCGTCTGTCTTGTTGTCGTCGGCATCTTACATTGTCGTCCCGGGGCCGTGGGACTGCCAGTTCCACGTCGATCGAGCGTCGCGGTGGGGAAAAGAATTTCCCACTGGGACGACCTGTGTGGAAGAGCCTCGTCGCCACAGCAGATGCTGTTTTGTTAGAAGTCAGCCGGAGTCGATGCGGAAAGTTTGAGGCGGGGTTCTTCTGTTTGTGGGAATGACCCACCGAATGTCCGCCGCACCGGCCTGAAGAACGGCTTTGGTGATGCGCACGACGGTTAGGGTGGTCATGATGTGATCACTCAGGGACAATGAAAATTGTTTGTCGCCCTGATAAAGCCCGACCGGACGGGGAAATGTGGAAGTTTATCTCGCCGAGAAAATTCCAATTCGATCTGATTCAATCCGGTCGCACGCTACCAGATAAAACGGAGCCCGAGTCGTTGTCCTTATCAGTATTGGACCTTTGCGAACATCTGGAGATGCTCATGTCGATTACAGCAGATACGATAATGAAAGACGGTCAAGCGACCGATTTCCCGATCGTTCGCCATCGCATACTATAACGGAATTTCGAGACATGACCGTCCATGCGATGTTCGCTGCGTCAACACCGCTGCGCTAACCGGGCACTGTCTCTGTACGGCTCGGTCTGCTTCGCGCAGGCAAAATGTCTCCATCGCGCTGGTTTCGCGGAAAATCGCAACGATCGTCATCAGCACGACGAGCTCTAGATTAATCATCGTATTTGAGCTCTTTATTCAAATATTAAACTTCAACCAAGCATCAGAAAATCGACGGCTACCGACTGCGAACCAATACGGAACCTAGAGCCGATATCTTCTGTATCGGCTGCCGTACGTGATCCAAATGTCGGGATCCGAATGAACGTACGAATTTCTGTATAGTTCATGTATCCACGGTATTCACCAGTCATGCCGGGTGACGATGGTTGCAACGATCATTGCGGAACAGAACCGAGGGAGTGCCGGTCAGGTGTTTGTGACTCATGAGCGTAAAATACAGGAGCGGACCGAATTCAGAAGCGGGCAATTCCGGAAAGTATTTATTTAAGCCGCGTGACGAAAACACCTGATCTCTCCCGGGTTAACTAGGGTCAGAGACTAAATTCAGACGTTTTTCGCTATTTCTATTGTAGCTGTGTGCTCCGGTGTCACTTTTACCCGGAGCCGGCTCGTTCCCGCATTGTTGTCTCAAGTTGGCGGATTCCATTCGAATTACCCTTGGAAACTCGCGGAAAGCGTAGAATCTCGGCAATGGTTGCTCCTTGCCTATTCCCGCGGAATGCATTAATTTCATCAGCGGTGGACATCTTCTCGTGCGCTTCTGGTGGGTAATTCGCATCACCACGATAGCTACTTGTCGCTCGCTCGTTCACTCGTCCGTCCGCCGCGCCACCGTGGTCGTCGATGTCTCTTTCCCGAGGTCAGGCTTCGTATCTTCTGCTCCGTGTCTCGGAGTTCCTAAATTCCACTCGATTTCCATCATCTGTGCGCAGAATCGACGGGCGATCCACTCCGTTCCGTCTTTCACTGACTCAGCCCGGTCCCCCGATCAGGGCTTCCTTTCCCCTTTTCGGCTATCAGTCATCGCTCGGGGCGTTTTGAATTTCCCTATTGTTTTTGTTGCTGTCGTCGTCGCATCGCTGCGCGGGAACGGTCGCGTCAAGGAAAAACGACGCCAACGACGGCCGAATAAGCCACGCTTCCAACGGCAGCCATTGCGGGAACGCTGCGACGGCGGCCTGTTCTTCGGCTCCTCAATATCCTGATCGCTAATCGAAACTGCTGTTGCGTACATCGCTCAGATGATGATCCATCAGAGTGTCACCCAGGCTCTGGAGAGAGTAGCCGATAGTTTCATGCTTTACCGCTATCCGTAGTAATGGTACACAGTCGAAGCTACGCCACCGAAGATGCCCGCGGCCGATTGCCCCTCGTCAAAACAATGTCACTAATGTCGTCCATTAATGAATTCACGAATGCAAACATCGATCTTCGGCTGCTGCAGACGACAACAAAACCACGGAATGTCATACCGTCGAGTCATTCGCTGGGGCGTTGATCAAAACAGACATTCCTACCCACCGACAGCACGCGACTCCCCGATGGAGAGAGTGGAAGAGCGTTCCGAGCTCTATATCCTATCCTCCATGAAATTCCGTCCCCGATGACGTGCAATGCGTCTCGTGGAAGTAGCTCCAACGATGGGAAGAACGCGTCTGAGACATACACAAATCGAATTGCGTGAGAATTTTATGAGAGACTATATAATAGTCGATTTCTCCAAACTTCCGTGGCTCTTCAAGTCTGATAAG